GAGAGGGGGACCATGATGGAGCAGGGGAACAAGTTCCAGAAGCTCCCCCCACCAAAGAGGGAAGAAGCGGCAGCACTGACTGCACCCCCCATTCCCTGCCCCTGCACCGCTCAGGGGAGGAGGTAGAGATATCGGGAGCAGAGCTGAGCCCGGGAAGAAGGGAGGGGTGGGGGGAAGGTGTTCTCAAGATGTGGCAATGCTTCTCACTGTCCTACTCTGTTATGTGTTGTTAGTGTCTGTAATAAATGTATGTTCTTTTTTTCCTTCCCCTAACGAGTCTGCCTTTTGCTCGTGACCATCTGTGGTGGTTGGCTGTTAACCTGGCTCAAACCACTACAAGTTTTTAGGACCTTCATGGTGTCCTTAAATTAGATATTTCTATGTTCTCTAACCTTACATCATAAGGATGCTGTGAGCTGGCAATACCGTCTGTCCTGTCTCTTCATTACCCTCGGTGTCATTTTATGCAGCACAGTCAGAATTTGAGACCAGCTGGCAGCCAACTGCATTGTCTGTTTAACTGCAGGAAACCATACTTTATCCCTCTCTGAATTCTGATGGGGTAATGATAACAGATAATTGATTGAATGCTTTTTCCTTTCTTTTGTTTATTCCTCTCTTTGAACGGACTCCCAAAATACACAAATAAAATCCTCAATTAAAATTTGTGGATTAATGAATTGAACAACAGACATTTAGTTTTGTTTTGTTTTTTTTCCGGTTGCCTGGATCTCAGGGTGACTTTCTTTGGTTTTCACTTGTTCTCCCCTGTCAAATATTTACAGTTGTCAAAATGGGTAAGTACACACTGGGCTGTTTTATGGACATGTCAGGTGGATCAGTGCTTATCAGAATGCTGAAGAGTGACAACAATTAACAGTCTGGGATTTCTCATGGGCCATCTTGTTGCTGCGTGTGTGGTGTTCACTGTGCCCTGGAAGCCAAGAGCTTGCATGAAGTAGTGACATGGGTCGTAGTCCCTTATAGAAGGATGGTTCTTAATGCTCTTTGATGGGGTAAACACTGTCTTTCCCAGAGTAATCCTTTAGAATTTATGATGTAAGAAATTCTTGTCAGAGGGCTGCAGGATTAGGATCCCCCAACATCACAGTTTTATTATCCATCTAAATTACAGCAGTGTATGATCAATATGACTGCACATGCTCAACGCTATCTTTATATTCTAAAAAGAATAAAATTGGGCTGAAAAAGTTTTCTATGAGCTGCCACTTAGTTTGCAGAACTAAGCACACACTTTGTATCTGCAGACTGGAGGTTAGTGAAATACAAGCAAACGCACAGTGGCAGGTAACAAACAAGAAAAGGAGGCTATCACAGCTAATAGTCTTGTTGCATGCTGAATAAAGTTTTTATGACTTTATCATTTTGCTTGGGGCAAACAGTACATTTTGTTTCTGTTTTGCAGTGAGCATAAACTTTGGAAGGTTAAACAGAGTATTACGTTCTGGTAAGTGCTCATCAGAGGCTTATTTTATAGTCATGGCCTATTAAATAGTTTCTTGAACCTTATTATATATATCTGTAAGGTTGATGTGAGTCTTAATTCCAGTTTATCTCCTTGTAGACATGAGTCTGAGTTTTTCACAAAACCTGAAAGGACAAACATAAAGTTCAAGTTGCTTTTTACTATAAGCCACAAATAATAAGGTATCACCACAAACATACCAGTCACCCCAATAAACTCTTAGCCTTATGTCATTGTGTATTTTAGTATGTTTTTCTCAACATAGGTTTTTATACCTACTGTTCTACAACTGTCAGTTATTCTGGCTGCAGCCAGACAGGTGCCAGGATCTGATCTCACTGCTGGGAAGAGGCTGGGACAGTGGGGGGACTGGTCAGGCAGTGAGCCCCCATGGCACTCATGTCCATCATGCTTGTGGGTCAGCTTCTCATCTGCTGGCCTTGAGGCCGTTGTATGTGGTTTTGGTTTTGCCTTAAAATGCTGTGCTGGGCACTGACTACTTGGGAGCAACTCGGATGCCTGCAAGGCAGCTGGCAGAAAGAGGCAAACTGGACAGTGAAGCCCTTTTTCCTCCTCAGTTGCAGCTGGACTCTGCCAGATGAGCAGAAGTTGATCTGCAAAACTGCCTCTTTGCTTTGGTGCAACTCTTGTCACTCAGGACATTTCAATTTCAGCATTGGATTTACAGATCACACTTAACTTCAGGCTGCATTGAGCATCTGTATCTTATTAACCTGAAGCAAACAGTTCTGTGATATTTCAGCAAGGAATGTAAGTGTAAGAGACCTTTATACGGATAACAGGAGTTTTGGGTACTTGCTTTGGAAATTTTAAGATGTAGAAAAATATCCAGTTTTCAGAAAAATATTTTATCTCCTTCGCTTCTTTCCCTGCCCCCCCTTCCACCTCTTAACCCTATGTCTAGGTTCCAGATACCTAAACCCCTAGCACACATGGGCAGAGAACAGCCCACAGCTGCTGTGTGGAAACAGCAGGGAGAGGCTACATCTCCGCAGCTGGATCTTGTGCACCAAAGGACTTCCATGAGCCCCTTGAGGCAGGCAGGGACAATGACCCTTGTGTTTATATAGCGATGCTCAGTTAATCTCTGTAGAAGAATGATGTCCTTTTGTATGAAAGTCAGGTGCTATTCAGGCAGCCTGTCATTGAAGACCTTTACATATGCAGTTTAGTGATTTGCAGAACTCACTGTGGTATTTCCACATTTCCTAGCACCAGAACTTGACAATAAATCCTCAGATTTATTGTCTGTGTTGTTGGATAATCTGGGCAAAATGAGAGGCAGGGCCAAGGAACTGCTAGGAACAGGAGCAGCCTGTTGTAGTGATCAGGAAAAGGATTATAGGAGTGTGGGAGGGAGGAGGGGAACTCAAAGACAGGAGTACTAGGGCAGAAGACATTCTGGGATAAATTCCCTTTTTTATTACTTGCACATGCTTATAATCTGCTCTGCTGCTGGGCTTCAGGTTGTTTTGTGGTTTTTTTTTTTTTTTTGACCAAACAATTTGTAGATTACACTGTGAACAGTGTATCATACCTCTAAACCTATAGCTTTTTGTTGGACCTCTGTAATGTAAAAAGATTTAAAGTTTCTCTGAAAAGGTGGCCAAGTCTGTATTACCAGTGTGCTTGTAACAGACTGTCTTTCTCATTCTTCTTCATGTATGACTCCATAACTGGGGGGATAGAGCACAGTGGCACACAAACCAAGCTATACTAAGTAGAAGTTAAAAACAGGATGGAAAATGTGAAAGCTAATAAGGAAATATAGTTACATGCTAACAAAGAGAAAAAAATACATCTGAAAATAGTTTCACAGAAGCAGATACTCCTTTGTTTTATAGTAGAAAAATGTAAAAAAATACACAGTAGTGAAGATCATTGGCAGGAGACTGCTCTTTACCTTCCCTAAAAGCCACACATTAGGTGGCTTTCCATCCTGCACTGTTTTTTGGATTGAGGGTCCATTCTCATCCTACAGCAGACAAGGACACGAGCCTTGGGCCTCAGGGCTGTGTGCGTGGTGGTCTCATAGCAAACCAGGGATTGCCAAGCTGAAGCAAAGCTTAACTCAAGTTACTTTTATTTTAATAATTAGTCAGCAGCCAGTTCCCATACTTTGAAGGGCATGTTCTGCTTTGGAGTCATGCAGTATGCTCCCTTTTTTTAGTATTCAGTCATTAAAAATGCACTGATTTTCAGGACTGATTAACAAGTGGCTATTATATTAGTCTGACCTTCATGGTCATCTCACCAGAAAAAAAATATGAAGTTGACCACATTGCCAAATAAAAGGGAAGATGGGTTTGTTTCTGTGAAATAGTACCAAGTGAACCTTTCTGACCTTATTTTCAGGGATCTGACAGCCTGCCAGGGCGACAGGCCCTCTAGCTAACAGGAGACCCAAGACTGCAAGGTGGAAGCACAGAGCAGAGGATGGCAGGTTTGCTCTCCAAGTAAAGGAGGAGATTATTCTTGTCTTGACAAAACCATTTCATTTTCTCGCTACTGGAGCAACATGCAATGAAGTGGTGTCAAAATAATACACACAATACTGTGCTCTTGGATTGAATACAAACTACTAAGTCCATCCTGTGAATATTTTTTTATAAATTTTTTTCCCCCCTGTATTTTGACTTCCTCCTAACTATTCGAGTTAGTGAAGGAAGACTGACAGAGACCACTCATTTCTCCCAGCAGCTGGCAGTGATGTGGTGAGGCTAATAATTTTCCCTATGGTTTTGCTAAGCTTTGAAATCCACTGATGTGCTGTCTTAAGTAGGGAATATCCAGCTTTGTTCTTCTTTGCCTGATTCAGAACTGGGTACTGAATGTGGCTATCTTTCAATAACATAAGCACGTAAAGGCTGGATGCACCATGGCTCCTGGAAGAAGAAATGCTTCATAGCATGAACACTGCAGAAATTCTGTTGAAAATATACCTGTTCACATGCAAAAGACCTTCCTTGTGCAACTGCTGTCAGTGCAATGAATAAACCACTGAAAACTTAACCTGCCTGCCCCAGTTCTTTGGCCCATGATGGACAGAGCTGATGTTATGTGTCACTATGTGATGTTACAGAAAGCATTGTGTCCTATATAGCATTTAAAGGAATTAATTCTCTGCAGGACAGCAAACATTAGTGGCTGCCTGGTGACTACAGTCATGCTGGTTGATTAACAAGGCAAGCAAAATCTTTCTCTCCTGCACAACTTAGAGGAATACAGGAACCTGACCCACAGCTATAGCCAAGTTAAGGGTAACGCTTCCAGTTTAGAATTTTCTTAAGAAGGAATATGAAGGTTAATCATACCTAGTTATTCTCCATTACTGTCATGAGTAGAGCAAAGTCTTATTTTCTAGGGTTTTAAATTCCAAATAGAGGATAGAGTGAAGCCTGTGAGAAAAGTTAGGCCTAAAGAGGAGTTCTGAGTTGGAGTTGTTTATTTGGACCTATGCTAATCTCTCACGGTATCTTCTCCTTTTTTGTAGGTAACATCTTTGTCGTCAGTTTGTCTGTCGCAGATCTTGTTGTTGCAGTTTATCCATACCCTCTGATCTTGAGTGCTATTTTCCACAATGGATGGACTATGGGAAATGTTCACTGCCAGATAAGCGGGTTCCTGATGGGCTTAAGTGTCATCGGGTCCATTTTCAACATCACAGTGATTGCAATCAACCGCTACTGCTACATCTGTCACAGCCTTTGGTATGATAAACTCTTCAATCTGAAGAACACCTGCTGCTATCTCTGCCTGACCTGGATACTCACAGTAGTGGCAATTGTGCCAAACTTTTTCGTTGGCTCCTTGCAGTATGATCCCCGGATTTACTCCTGCACCTTTGCCCAGACAGTGAGCACATCATACACCATCATAGTGGTGGTGGTTCACTTCATTATCCCACTGTCCATTGTGACATTTTGCTACCTACGGATCTGGATTTTAGTGATTCAAGTCAAACACCGGGTGAGACAAGACTGCAAGCAGAAGCTCAGAGCAGCTGACATCCGGAATTTCTTGACTATGTTTGTCGTTTTTGTTCTTTTCGCTGTGTGCTGGGGACCGTTAAACTTTATTGGCCTTGCTGTTTCAATTAATCCTTTAAAAGTGCAGCCACACATTCCAGAATGGCTTTTTGTCCTGAGCTATTTTATGGCGTATTTTAACAGCTGCCTCAATGCTGTGATCTATGGGCTTCTTAACAAGAATTTCCGGAAGGAGTATAAAAGGATACTGCTGACACTCCAGACTCCCAGGTTGCTGTTCATTGATGTGTCTAAGGGTGGGACAGAAGGGATGAAAAGCAAGCCATCTCCAGCCATAACAAACAACAGCTACCAAGCTGAAATACACTTATGAGTCAGAACAGTACTATTTATTCTGGATTTCAGTTGTATATTTAAGAGCCTCTCTACATGTGCGTTTCACAGCTAGTGTTGCTGGGCCCCTCATGCAAGGAAGGAGTCTGCTACCTTTCATGTTTAGCTTATTGCTGCGACATCAAGGCTTTGAGTAAGGATTTTCAGAATGGAAATGACTGATCTTTATCTTTTTTTTTTTTTTTTCAGATGCTATCTTTCACCATGTGCCTAATTAATTGGTTTGGTTGCTTTTGCCACAAGCATGCCAATACTCTTGGAAAGGGAAGTGTACAGGGTGCATAGAGAAATGCAGTTATGCTTGAAATGCAACCTTTAAGAACTGGTAAAATCACGATTTATTTCAGACAAACCTTTTTTCCCTCCCTATGAATTCTATTTTTTTAGCATTAACAAAACCCAAATTATAGCAAACAAAATGTAAACTGCATGATTTTTTACGCTTTCAGTTATGTAACAGTATTAGCCAGCAGGCCTACATATGGGCATTGATGACTTCCACTGCGTGTGCATTCATTTTCCTTTTTCTTTTCTCCTAAGGTTTAGAAGCTAGCCTTGGCTAAATGTGAGGCTGGAAAAAGCCAGACCTAGTGAGTGTCTAATGCACTCATTTTAATTTAATATCTACAGATATTAAGTACCCTTGCACTCTTCTTCCCAGCCCATGAATAAGAATATAACATATGATTGCGAAAAGATACTTGGAGCCTGATTCTAATTTAGGTAGTATCCTGTCATGGCCAGCATTCATTCCAAATGCCTTTCAGAAGTCCCTGCTACATGAACATCATAAAAAAAGATGAGCATAGCAGAGTCCCATCTGTTTAATGCAGATGCTGGCTTTTAAGTTCCAGGAATATTTACCCTTGCAGACAAAGGGAGAAGGAGAAGGAAGTGTTTGTTTCAAACATACCTCCTTTTGCCTACCACATAGCATGAATTTCACAGGGAGGAAAAAAGGTGGAGAATTTTCTTCCATTTTATGCATGTACAAATTTATAATTAATTCATGAAGCTGGGAGAGGAAAGCTACTTAAGCATATTCATGCATCAATTCTCAGTTAAAGCCTGAACTATGTTGTCTGTGTCATTGGAAACAATGTCCTGAAGTGCTGGGAAGGCCAGTATCACATTAGTAACAAGAACATGTGCAAAGAGAATGCTGTTTCTTTAATGGAGTGTGAGGGAGAATGACAGCAGCTGTCTGCAAACATGAATTCTTTTTTCCTTCACTTCACTGTGAATTCATCTCCTTATGGTTTTAAATGTGTGTATCTTGCTTTGAAACAGTCCCATAAAATCAACAGGTAAAACTCCCCTGGTTGCAACTGTACCTTCAAGCTAGCAGACCTGGTTTGATGCTGGTGGGAGAGGCACAGCAGGAGCCGAGTGATGGAGAGGAGGAGGTCTGAGCCCTGTGGGTCTAATGAGGGTAGCAGTCAGCCCTGCCTCTAATCAGAGTGCAGTCCTCTCTCCTTGATCAGTCAAAGCAGGACTAGTTCCCAGGGCTGAACCCTGAAACACCAAGAACCATACTTTGCAATAGCATGTATGTGCCTAGAGATGGTGGTATGTAGGATTTACAAAAACCCTGAGCTAAGTGCTACTCCTTAGTGAAGTTAACAAGCCATTTGTGCACTGCTTGCTGAAAGCAGCTTGTTCCTGAATGATACTTCTGCTGATTTTTGGGTTGGGGGAAGAGGAGTTCAGTGAAATGAAATCCTTTTATGAAGTGGGGCAAGAAACATTGCATGGTGCATTGCTTCAGTGGCCAGGGGGGATTAGGGGGAGGTGTCTCTGCATTTACAGGGCAGACTGGCACTTCATGAAGTTTCAGACTTGAACATAGCCACTTCACATGATTATTATTTTAAAATGTACTGCAGCCACCCTCCCATAATAGGAATCAATCTGAGTTCTGTTTTGGCCTCTTAATCTGCCTGAGCATGGCCAAATAAAGGTATCTTGACCCATGGAAATAATGTGGTCCGTTTGCCTTCCAGCAAAACCAGCCTGGATGAATTCACACCATTCCATGCAAACGAAATAATTTTTAGTCAAACTTGGATAAGAAAAGCACTGTGGAATCCAAAACTGCACCGAGTGTTTGTCCTGTCATGCCAAGGAGATGACCTGTGTTCTGTGACTAGCCTTCAAAGCCTGTGGCAATTAGCCACAATGGTGTTAGTTAGAATCACATTAGCAAATAATTTTAAGCATCTAGTGCCAAGCCAAACATGCTCCTTTCAATCATGAAGAATCTTGTACAGGTTTGCCAGGTATCTCGAATACCCCACAACTGGGGCTTCATTTTATGGATCCTTGTCTTTTTAACTGAATGATCAGTGAAGGCAATGTGTTTATTTTTTTTTTTTTTTTATTTATTTAAGCTTATATCTGCACTATTTCTCATTCATGCTCCAAAGTAACAGCCAGCGAGCATTTGAACTAAACAAAGTAAGCCAAAGAGGTCCCGAACAGGCAAGCTGTGGGAGTCTCTGCTAGTACCTGGTAGGAAGGAGAGCAGCAGGAGCACGATAGGGCATCTCCCCAGGACTCACAGAGAGTCACTGCTGAACCAAACTATGCAAAATGATTGGGGGATCTGTTCGTCCTCCACTGCAGGGTCTGAACTCGACTCCTGCCCAGGTCTTTGAAGGGGACAGGCTGAGTACGTGCCGTGCTGAGGTGGGTCCTGAGCAGCTCCCTGCAGGGCGGTGCTTAGGATAAGAGAGATTTTTATACTGACTTATTTTAAAACTACCCAAGCAGCTCCTTATTATTATGTTAAGAAATCATTAACAGTGTACAGAGAGTTTATTTTGTTAACATTTGTTTACAGATAAAGGGAAGTGTGTCTTAAACTGGGAATCCTGAGCAGTGTCAGTGTTTCCCATTGAGAAACTAGCTTTAATCAAACTTTGAGCTTTCAAGGAGATCCCACCAATTAAATAATGCTCTGCCTATTCCACCTGTTGCATACTTGGCCTTAAGTCTTAGAAATAACACTGAGATCTCCTATAAACTAGTTTTAAATCACTTGCTCTGGATTTGACATGGTGGTGTTAAATACCTATTCTAGCCCCAAACTCTAAACTTGTCTAGGTGGACATAAATTTATGATGAGGCAGTATTGCTGTGAAGAAAGATGAATCTCTTGCCACAAAGATATACTTTTGGCTGTTGCTAATGAATATGGTTTATTTAAGAAGAAAGTAACCAGTATATTTATATATAAATATATACTGCATATGCTGTTTCCATTTTGTCATTTGATTAAGAAACCTTCAGTATAATTTCCTATTGCTGTTTTTGTTCACAGTGTAGATTCATTCCCTTTACCTGTTAAAACTGTAATAAATCTGCCACTGGACCACTTGATTTTTTTTTTCCACTTGTAGCTCTTTTTTAACAAATGTTTTGAACAACAGCTGGGGTTTTGTTGTCTCCAAGAAAGCAGATTGAACTGATGAATGCAACTGAGTTCAGGCATACTTCATCTGCCCAGCTCTGACCTGCAAGAGAATGACCCAGTGCATCTGGAACATCTCCTTGGATTCATATGTTTTTCTTCCACCTCGCTGTGAGCCAGTTGCCTGCTTGGACTATGGCATTCCTCATCAGGGAAGAATCTTTCTCCACACCACGAATGGTCTAAAACCTCTGACACCATCTAAGGCCCTTTCCCTTTCCTGTGTCTATGTCTAACAAGTGAACGCAATGGAAGGAAGGACTGTGTCGCGTATATTTCCTTGTACTACAAACTGTGTTGTAGCTGGGAACGAAAGCACAGCTTTCACTTGGGACCTCCCCGGGCTGCAGGGGGACAGCCCGCACTCTCACCACCGGCTGAGAGGAGTCTCTGCTCCGGTAGCACTGCCTCGTCGCCCTCCTCCTCCTCGCCCAGTCGGGCCTGGGTGTTTAGGGAGCCGTGTCCCCCTCCCAACTCCTCCTCACAGCCCCCACTCCTCCCCTCAGGTCGCCCTTCGGAAACGCATTAGCCCAGAGGGCAGACACACAAAGGGTAAATGTTTTGCAGACAAGTTCACAGCTACTGTGAAATTAAATATTCAGTTATATTACCTGCTGGGTTTCATCATTCAGAAAGATACCTGGAGCGTTTGTAACCATCCTTTCCTAAATGATTTAACTGCTTTTAAAGGACCATAGTCAGCTGTGTGGAATTCCACTTAAATCCCTGTGCCTGGTCTTTATTACTGCCAGGTTCAGTCAAGCAGCTCATTCATACAGTGACTTCTTTGGCTCTTTGCCACGTGTCTTAGATACCTGCTTCTATCCCTTGCCCTGTCACTGGGGCATGGGTGATTTCAGTGCTCAAATATGGCCCTAAAAGGCTATATTCCAATGGTGTTAGGCAAGAATCCTGAGAAAATGGGCCTGAGTTGAGAGACCCCCTCAGCAGTGGACTAGGCTGGGCAAGGCATCTTGGAGCACGTGCCTGGCTCCCACTGGACTGCCTTTGGCTCTAACTGGGATATCAGAATATTATTGTTATGCCAGTAAAGAATAATTAGCATGATGATATTTCTTTCTGTGAAGGGAAGTGCAATCACTTCTTCATTTGTTGTATTTCTAATAACAAGCTGGTTAAATCAGTTATTAATTCAGGTGAAATGAAGGTTTTCATTTCATGCCCTCTATTCTTTTAGCACTAGAGGGTATAAGTCAAAAGGGAAAAGTAACACCAATAAAGCCTGCGAAGCTGAAGATGAACAGTGATTGCTCTGAGGGCTCCCTGGTCATGGGATCGACGTGTTTGGTCAGTCCAGAGCTCTGCAATCATGCCAGTAGCACCAACCTCCTGGCTTGGGACTGAAGGCTTGGCCTGTGGGATGCACTTCTGCCACAGAGTCCTTTGAAGCATACAGCACTGCTTGGGAAAGTCAGTGGAAGAGGCTTTGGTAGCCAGCAAAACTCTGGTCAGTGCTCATCCAATGTTTATTTTTAGGTCTTTTCTTGTCAAGCAAAAATATGCTTGGGACTCTAGTGATGGCACACAGGGTCTAAGGAGTCTGGAATAAAGACTGAAACATGCCAGAATTACTGCTTCAGTCTTTTCTTGTCTCTGCTTCTGTTCTATTGACTGTCTCTGGCCAGTTCCAGATTGAGGGGGTACCTGGAGCATCAGTAACCAGGTGGCTTTACTGTTGTGGGACTGCAGCAAAGCTGAGTGCAGAAAATGTTAAGAAATACCAAGCAGGTATTTGCAGTGAGGAGGTGAAAAATTGCATTTATTGATTACTTTTTAGGGTGAATCAATCGTAAAAAGAAGAGTCAAAAAGACTCTTTTAATTATAACATTATTAAGACTTAAATTGGGCAAACTGCCATTATAGCAATTACTCTACTTTGGTGTTCTTAAGGTTGTCTATTAGGCAGGGTTAGGAGGTGAAACCATTTATTTCCTCTACTATCCAAATAATACATGTCCTGTAACATTCAGTAAGGCTAGACTCTTCAAAAAGATCAGAAGCTCAATTATTCATGCTCTATATTAACATCAATATTTCATGGTGAAAAAGAAGCATTTATGTGAGCCTGGTGAGATTTTTAAGCCTCCTTTATTTTGTGTTGATTTAGGGAAGTTTAACTCAAAACAGACTGATAGCATGGACTTGATTCATGTGAAGTTGTTCTGCACAGTTAAGACCTTTAAAACAAGATGATGGGACCATGCCATGCTTGATCCTCATCGTGGTGCAGATTCCTCCTGTAAATATGATAGAGGACACGGAGCTCTTGAGACATGATGGGAAGTCGTGCTGTTAACTTAGCAGGAAGCTGGAGCAGATCCCATCCTGGGTGATGTTCAACTCAGCACCTCAGTTTTGATTTATTTGTGCACACAATTACAAATAATGTAGGTGTCCAGAGGAAAGCTTTACTGAAATACAGGTCACAGAGCCCAGCAGAGTTCTTCAGAGGCGTTGTCTTGTTAATCTTCAGAGTCTAATCTTGGAGGGTCATATGATCTCATCTGACAAATGAGATGGAAGTGGTTGTTCTGGCCATCATATTGGCTCTCATGTGTTCAAATTTATAAGCCTATATTTGAATTTTAGTAGTTTATTCTAGCTCTGGGGAGGAGGGATTTAAATCCCTGGAGTAGGCTGAATTCCTCTGTTGGTTAGCACTATAACTGAATCTAGATAAAGGGAAAGAGCGGTTCAGAAAAGGCAGGAGACATAAAACCTGGTGATTTCTGCAGGGGCAAGGTCCACTGAGGTAGGCAGAGAGCCTTTACTGAAGGAATTGTGGTGCTTTAGTCCTACAGTGTCATTGAGTATGTCTTCTGTCTGACATGCCCTGGTCCTAACACAGTGGGATGTTGAGGGGAGAGGCAGTGGCAGAAGATGAAGATGCACCAAAACACTTTGTCTCTTTCACTGAAACACTCCATCCTTTCTATTAACCCAAATGCTTCCATTTTTTTCTGAGTTACCTTTCTTGTCTGCACTCTTCTTCCTGTTCTCTTCAGGAAAAAAAAAAAAAAATTGCTTTTTGGCTAATTGATTCTGATCAGGTCACAGCTATTCAAAAAACGAAATCCAAACAAAACAAATCCTCTTTCTGCAATCTTCTCTTCATGGCATTGTTCAGCTTTGATTTTGGTGATTTATTAGAGCAGTAGTGTTCGCAATGCTGGAATCAAAGGCCAGATGGTACTTCAGTACAAACTTTCATTCCCAGGAGTCTCGTAACTTGCCTGCAAAACAAATAGCTGTTGTCCTGTTAAACTGAGGAATTGTCTTAAAAATATGAATGCCTTCTCTTCCCTCTTCCTTTCCAAGCCCTCCAAGCCCTTCCCCAATACTCCTTCCAAAATTTATGCATACTGCAAGCAAGTAAACAGTTGTTGTTAGCAGGAGGAATGTTCAAGAGGCTACTCTGTCATGGAGGATCCTGTTTGTGTCCCCATCGCTCATAATTGCAGCCAGCTATGTCACACAGACTATCATAAGCAGAACAAACTCTATCTTAAACCCAGAAAGGATGTTGTTGCCTTTCCAGCTCCTACAAGGCTGTTCTAGTGCTTCTAATTTTCCAGTCAAAATGGAAACTTCCCCGGGTATGTCAATGTTTTTGTTGCACTATTTTTCATTTTAGGTAGCTTTTTCTCATTTTCAATGTGTTTATCTCACTGTTGTATTTCAATAAAGTTGCTACATCTCTCTTTATTCATGCCTTAGTTAATGCTGTCAGGTTCTGTTTCCAGGCCAGGTAGTGCCAGAAGTATAAAATAGGAGAAATTAAGCTCTTGTGCTCTGGGCAGCTCTGCCTCCCTGTGCCTGTGGGAAGCCTTGCTTGGAGCAGTGTCTCTTCCTGCCTTTGGGAACAGGGGATGGAGCAGAGAGGAATACATGCTGCTGGGAATGTGGCCTGTTTCTGTTGTGCAGAGCTGCCCTGTGTGCGCTTCATCTAGATTTAAAAGCATAAGTGACATCTAAATTATGGCCAGTCCAAACCCAACTGCAACCTTGAATATTGCTCTGGGACTGAAGATGTCTCCTACATTCTGGGCCTTTTCCTGCTGTAAGAGCTGAGAAGCTTCTTGGAGAAGGGTTGGAGAAGTCCTGTGAAGAACCTCCAAGTATGCTTTGGCAGTGACTCTTCCAGTGATGCTCCTTGATGATCTACATCATTCATGCTTCCAGCAATGCTCTGCAGTGTCAGAAATGGCAATAAACATTAAACAAAGGAATTAGTACTTGCATATGGGTTTGCCCTGGCTGCAAACTTCTCCTGCAAGTTTGGTTAAGTTAGATGTTTCCAAAAAAAGGAAAAAACTGATTTTGTCTTGTTTTGGAGTCAAATAAATAGTATAATAAGTCTAATAACTTTTTAAAAGATTATGCTTATATTTCTGTTGGTGTCCCTGGAGGTATATCAATATGAAATACTGACTGACTACAGCAGGAGATATGAACCAAATATGCTCTGGAGAATCTGTACTTTTGTATCAGTTTTCCATTTGTTAGCTGCTGATGGTAATGCTTTCTTCACATATTTATCAAATAACATTCTGTTATTTGAAAGAGGGATTTATTCTTGCTGTGTTGTTGCAACAATATCCAGTATTATTAGGCTTGAATTTAGCTGCAAGTCTCGGGCTCTGTTCCATTGCTAGTACTAATTGATGTCAGTTTTCCTTGTGTGAATCCTTGACTATTTGGATGTGTTTGTATATATACATATGTACAGAATGCCTGTCTCAAGCATCATGTCACTGGTGTCTGTGGGAAATGCTGGGATCTCCTGTGGAGCATCTTAATTAACTTTCCCGTTCATGTTGACATCCTAAATTCTAGGCTAGTGTTATGTATTAAACCTTTTTCCCCTTGTTTGTCAAAACAGAACAACTTCTTCAGAGCAGAACATAATGCAAATGCTAATTAAAACTGACAATCAAATTGCTGTCACCTGTTTCAATTGGAAGAAAAAAAACTGATGAAGAAAAAACCATTCTGCCCTTGTTGAAGTTGACTGAAACTTGATTCCTGAAATCTGTGGCCACAGAGTGAAGACACCTGTTCTGCTTTTGCTGCTTCTTGAGGCTGGATGCAGCCATCCCATGACTTCAGAGAGCAGAGCTATTGCCCACGGGGGGAAGGACAGCAATCCTACCTTTCTAACTTCTTTTCAAAGCTGCTGTGCTGTGCTTGGGAAGAGGTGGCTGGGAGGTGTCTGCTGACAGACAGTCTTTGGCCAGATGTGATCCCACAAGCTGATCTCTACAGGTTGTGCATGTAAGTGTTGAGACTGGTAGTCATCAGCTCGGTCTCTCCAAAGTGCTCTAGGGATTGCTCAGAAGTTGCTCCTTGGTTTGAGCATTACAGTTTGTAATCTACGTGAGCATTGCCCATGCCAGTATAGGCAGACTGGTGAAACCAGCCTCTTTCAGTTGCTGTTTGGCAGGGAAATAAAGCAGGCACTGCCCACAGAGTACTGGCTGTTGTCATAGCTGACAAGAGCATCGGAGCCCTCTGTGTAGCAGGGAGTTTGGATGGCTGATAATTATTTCTGTCCCTCCCTCCCTGAGAGGTAGAAGGTGGTGCAGGCACCTAAGTATCATAAAAACCTACTGAGAGTTTTGGCTTGGATCTGGTTTTCCTCCATCACAGAGTACTGCATCATTTCCAGTGCATCCTGGAATTGTTCTGATGGTGTACTCCTGCTGAATAGCCCAGTAGGAAATGAATGCCTACACTTAATTGGTGAGGTGCGTTTACTTGATAGTGAGATATGTAGATGCTAAGAAAATCATTTCCTATGTGGACAGACATCTTGTGTTCAATGTAACCCCAGCATGCATCTACCTTTATAAATATAAGGATATATTAGGTATACTCTGATCATGTTTTAAAAGAATGTTTGTTATACGATTATTAGTGCCTTGTATTCCCTTTCAGTCTGTATGCACTACTAATTATAGCTACATTTTTTTTTCTTCCCCCCTGTGTATTAAGAAGACCCTTCCACTGCTCTCCAAAAGCCTGGTCCTTTCTCGTGGCCATAACCCTTTAAGCCACCCCTGGGAACCATCACTGTATCAGCTTCAGTGCCCAGTGAGTTGCTGAGTGCTGTCAGTGGTCCCTAGGCCAGTGAGATTATTTTCATATTCTATTCCCAGTCCTATTCACCTGGGAAGTAAAGGCTGCTATAAAACAAAGCCATTGCCTTTTGCTTCCTTCACATCAAATCCTGTTGTCTTATTGGCATGATGGAGTACTAATCAGGAAAACCTCATTGATCTTCTTTGGCTTTTGGTTTTTTATAGCTTCAAAAAAAAATTTAGAATCAAAATTCTTTGTTCTTCCTGAACCCCTGTAGCTTACTGTGGTGGCTGAAATGGCTTGTCTGCCTGTAGCTTGAGAATGCACTTCAAATAACTGAGTAACTCTTTAAACAGAATTCATACTTCTTGGCTAAAAGTAAAGTACTTGTAAGCAAGCCTTTCAGAGCACAAAACACTTGAGAGAAGCTCCGTGACACTCCAGGGAAGCAGGCTGGTGTAATCCATTGCGATGTATGAGACTTTGTGGCAATCTGCTGAAGGCAAGTAATGGCTCCCATTTTTCTGGTGTCTGGGCTTCTGTGGTGTGAACAGAATATCTGTGTTTTGCAAATGAGGAATGCAGGGCTGAGCTGGTGCCAGTTGCAGTTCCTAAAGCTTAGGTCTGGCACAGTGAAATGTGCTGCAATGAGGGTGTATGGAGAATCAGATGCCTCAAAAGGTGAAGTAGGGATGAGGAAGCTGACTGAAGTGAGTCTGTGGGAGGCAGCATGAACGCTGCGATCTGCAGTCCCTTCTGTGTGGTAGTCAGCTCCCCTCTCTGGAGTTAGAGAGGAGCCCTCTGCCCAGGAGATGAGGCCTGTCTAGTTATGCAGCAGGCAACATAGCTGCCACCCAGAGCAGATCTAGGCTGTGCTGGTGGGTCACTGCTGTTGCTACCAGGACACTGTCAGGGCTGTGCAAAAGCAGAACTGAAGTATCTGAAGTCAGCCAGCATGAATCCACATCTTGCCTCTTGAGAGGAAGCGGTGAAATTCAGAGAGAAGTAGCTAGGTGCTTAATAACACATCCCTTAGAGCATAACCATGATGCTACAACTGAGTCTCATGGGGTAAGATACTTTGATAAGAGGCACTGGGGAGCAGGGAGAAGAGCAAATGGCTCTGAGGTCTGGAAGATACATTAGCAGATTAATGGCTCTGTAAGGACTTTCCCAGTGGCCTGTATTCATACCAGACAAGCTGCTCCAGCAGCAGTAGAAGATTAGACTGTTGAATACAGAGCTGAGGAGAAAAAAAATACTGCTGAAAATGTAGTCTTTGTAATGCTTAGGGAGCTGATTTGGTTCTAAGTGAAGCCACTTGTGACTTGGACCCATTTTCAGGGAATCACGGTAGTACAACAGAGGTACTAGACTCTGTGCCTTTGATCACCAGGAGGTTGGTGATATCAATCTATCATCATTGGTAAAGACCTGATCCTTCCTTAGTGGAAAATCTTTTTTTTCTGGTGATGGTGAAGCCTTGCTGCTTAAGATTTTTTGAAACAGGTTAGCACAGAGCTGAGGGAGTTATCTGGAAACTTCCAAATTTCCATCCACGTTTTCCCAGTTTCAGCAATGGGAGATAAAAGCTTCTCAATCTTTGGGAGCAGTTAAGAGTATGATGTGATACAGCACCACTATAACAACTAGTATCACATTAAAACCAACTGACAAGGAACCTGTTTTGAGTAAGAGTGAAATCTCAAGTGGAAGTTGTCATGACAAAAATTCTGTCCTTTCATTATTTTCTGGTTTGAAGCTGGGGTAGGGGACACAGTAGGGACTGGTTTCCCACACATGACACAAGGTTGGGCTCTATCTGGCCTGAGCAGGCAAATGATGAGTGGAGCTGTTGGCAGGGACGGTTGGTGGGGCTGATGGAGGGAGATGCTGCTGTGTCAGAGGCAGAGCAGGCTGGGGTCAGGCTGCTGCAGGGTCTGGCTGTTTTTTCTGCTGACTGCCTCCAGCCCAACCGTGACCCGTGGGGAGCTGAACACTTCTGCACCAAAAGCATAGTAATGTAAAATCTGGATGTTAATCACAGTAATGGCTTGTCAGCTGCAGGTTGCTGTGAGCATGCAGGTCTTTCTAGGGTTGCAGTGGATTTCTGGAGAATAACTGAATAACATCGCTCATCAGTGAGAGAGCAGTTTTAATGGATAAAGGGCTTCATAGCTGAGGGCAGCATAGGCTGCCAAGGGGCCCAGATGTCTTTTAGCCCTCTGAGTGTTGGAGATAGTGTCTGGGCTTGGTGGAACCACTGTTTTCTCCTGAGACAATTTTTTTTCCAGTCTCTTACCCCATTGTGGTAGTGGAATCCAGATGACGAGTCACGCCAAGATGCAGACAGATATGTCTGAAGCTGCATTTGCTGACTGCTTTATTCTGAATGAGTACTGGCAAGCATCCCATGGGCTTGTAACACGGCCAGCTAACAGCATGCTCAGTGAGTATCTTAGCTTGCTAGTTTAAGCAGTCTCAGTAAACGTAACTGGAAGATGCTCCTAAGACATAAATAAGAAAAACTTCCTTTTTTTTTTTTTTTCCATTAAATTGCAGGTAAGAGCATTATTCCTTGGATCAAATTTGTAATCTATGAAATTCTGAATTATTGTCATTCTTGTTTTTAGCAATTTAACAATTCCTGAAGATCTGCTT